ACAGATCCAGGCAATCTGCAGCCACATAATTAGCGAGCATGTTGAACACTGGGTGCATAATCTTGCTAGACCTACAGTAATAGCCACTTCCAAAAGAGAGACTATGGGGTTATGAGAGTTAAAGCTGACATTTCATTAGCTAGGTGTGGTGGCGCGTGCCTGTAGTCCCACCTGCTCTGGAGGCTGAGACAGAATTGCTTGAACCCGGGAGGCAGAGGTTGCAGTGAGCCAAGATCGCACCACTGCACTCCAGCCTGGTGCCTGGCGACGAAACAAGACTCTGTCTCAAAACAAAACAAAACAACAAAAACTGGCATTTCTACTTTGGGAAAACAGCTTTACTGCAGAATATGCTTCTCATTTTTACCCAAGTTTTCCACGTACAACTGAAGACTTGTTAACACCAGCATGTGGAATGGAGGTAGGTGAAAAAACAGAACCAATTCAAGCAGCAGTTTCTTCACTTAGTATTTATTTTTGTTACTTAAAAAATAATGTGTTCCCATACCTATTTTCAAATGCACAGCCCTGCTGTAGGGTCTCTCACTAAATTTCCTATTGGTCTAATAATTAAAAACACCCACCCTTAAGGTAGCTTTCTTTAGAGCTTTGTTTTTTTTCCTACAGAGACAGGATGTGATCTTTTGAAATGTGCCAGATGACTAAGCAGTTAACATAAATCCTAACATCATCAAGCAGCACCAAATGCAATCTTCAAGATAAAAAGCCAAGCCGGACATTTTCTATTTTCTTTCAGAGGTTTCAACACTCCAATGAATGCATCTGTCAATACTGATCTATGGGAATTCTGTTGTTAAATATTGCCAAAATTAAGCTTTATAAATTGGACCTTAAAACAGAATTTTATCATTGAAGTAAAATTTCCACTGTTCAAAAATACAACAGAAGTTTGAGAGTAAAATAATTACTTTTCTGAGAATTTAGGGGTTTTCTTGTGGGGTTCATTTTATTTATTTATTTTGAGGTATTAATGCTATTCAGAAAAAAATGGCATGGCTTGGCTTGGCTTGGCTCTGTGGCTCAGGACTGTAATCCCAGCACTTTGGGAGACCAAAGAGGGAGGATAACTTGAGCCCAGGAGTTCAAGATCAGCCTGGGCAACACAGGGAGACCCTGTTTTTTGTTTGTTTGTTTTTTTTTTTTAAAGCTACCCAGGTTCCACAAGGTTCCAGGTTTTCTAGAATCTACTTTGACCAATAAATTCAGAACTTAAATGCTGTATCTTTTGCGACTGAACCTTTATTTTCTGAAAAACAAGTATTTCATACAATCTTTGCCATGTTAATGCAAATATGCACAAAGTAGGCATGTATTTTTGTTTTCCAAAAGATGCATTATGAACATTTTCAGGAAGCTGGTGTGATTTATTCAACTTTTAAATACAATCACAAAATTATATCCATCAGGAGGCATTACAACCTTTTGTACAGAGAAGCCACTATTTATACAGTGTTACTAGGACAAGGAAGATTCAGTTCAACTCAACTTGCTCTTAGAATAAGGGTAAAAGTAAATTAACAACTAAGTGAAGTATGATGTTGTTGCCACTGACATTACAGGTGGAAATATAAGGGAAATTTAAACAAGAAAATGACACAACTTTCAAGAGGAGCTGAAACCTTGACTGTCAAGAAAAGAAAAAAACTATTAGCCTGTTTTCAAATAAAAACATTCCAAAAGTCTGCATTTCAGAACAACATAGAATTCTTTTAAGTTTACCATCTTCAAAAATCTACTTAATTGTATGACACTTTTACATTAGCGCAACAAACAACTTTTTCTACCAAGTCCAGCCAAATTCCCATGGAAAGCGAAGGACCCTAAGTGGTTCATGTTTTGCAGCCCTTGAACTTATAAAGCTTTTCTCATTAAGAGTCAGTTTTGCCCTTCTGTAAATAAGGATGGTGATATTGTTATCCAGACCTAAAAAGCAGGAAGTGCAACAAACCCTTAGGGTTTCTTAATACAGTGAATTTCCCCCTCCCCAACGTTTTGAAAAATTTGGGATACTTACTAGCTCTTCCATGTGGGAGAAATCTTTCTAATACTACCCAAATATTGAAAACAAAATCTACCTTCTTTAACACTTGTATTAGTAATTCTACCTCCTTGGCTTAAGGAGGGGGGAAAGTCCTAGTTTTAAATTGCTGGCATTTTACAAGCTCAACAAGATATAAAATGCATACTCTATGTAAAACAAAGATGCTTAAATGTGCTAATAGTAAAGCATTCACTGGTATTTGATGTATCTGAATAGGACTAACAGGCTAATCGTAGGTGCTTTCATATGAAAATAATTGAGAGAAAAGAAGAACCAGCTCCTTTGATTTTAGTACTGCCAAAACAAGTAAGCCCCCAGAGTTAATTACAAAAATGTGGAGGAAAATAGGCCAGGAAGACTTCTCAATTTAAAGTACTGCCTATAATACCCCAGATTAAAAAGGACCTAAGATTGCACATCAAGTCTAATATTTGGCTGTACTTGCATTGCCCTGCTCGGCATTTTAAAAAATGGCTCTTTCCTTAAATTTCACACGTCAGAACAACCACAATTAAAAAACAAAACAAAAAACAATGCAGATAACACCAAACATGGGACAATATTAAGAAAACTACTTACTAAGCTTAGGTAATAGAGGCAAGGGTTAAGGGCAGAAGTGATGGAAGTTTTTCTTTGTATTACAAACCCTCACCCTGAACCTGGGGTTTGGGCTCTAAAAGAAGCAATTTAGGGAAGCAGATCAAGAGCCTGATTATCATTCTCACATGGAAATCTCAACAGATCTCAAAAACAACTCACCACAAGTGTCAGACACAAAATAATCTTAATAATCTAGCAAACTACACTAAGAACTCAATGACCAAAAATAATCAGAAACTTCAAGACACACCAAAGCAACAGTAAAAGAGAAATAACTACACAAGCTAAGCCTCCACAGCTCTGTAGAGAAATCAACTAAAAATTAGGCAATTCTAGTAAATTAAAGACAACAAAAACCTTAAGATTGAACTTCAGTTTCCAAGGGTACTTTGAAGAGGTTGTTTGTAGGTTATTCTGTACCCCCTGAATCTTAGAGAAGGGGGGGTGGAGAGGGGACAGAGGAATGGAGGGAAAGGGGGAAGTGTGTGTGAATGAGAGAGAGAGGGAGAGAGAGCGAGAGAGAGAGAGAGAGAGGAGAGGATCCCTGGTTTTCCCAGGTATTTTGTGTTATCAAAAATGTATGACTTCATAACTACAGCACTCTAACTTTTCTCAGTCTAACTGCTGAGGTCTCTTATAAAAGTTCAAATGGCAAGTCACCTCGTAGAATGGCTTAACAGAGGAAGCCAAACTATACAGACCAGGGTCTTGTCCAGAGTGCAGTAAAGAGCAGGCTTTTGAAGTCATCTATTAAATCTGCCTTACAATCAAACCCATTGTGTATGCCACATTATTCTTGGAGGGACCACTGTAAAACAAAAGTGATGGATAATTTACCAGAGGCACATGCTTTTGAAGTAAAGCTGTTTTTTGTTTTCACTTGGGTAAGGTGCCAGGTACCTCTGAAGCCTGAAAACACAGGCAATAAAATTCACCTATTTCATTTATCTTCCTTACCAAAGAAGAAGCAATTTCTGAATACTATCTACAGTGATAAACTAGTGTGAACTGGTTTTATCACTGCGATAAAAGTTTTTCCTTATGATGACAATAAAGAATGTTGCTGAAAGCAGAGGTAATGTAATAAATGTAATTTGCTCCCAGAGCCTCTAGGAAATAAAGCAGCATGCAAAATACAATATGGCATTATTATTCCAGCTAGGTTGTTTTGATTGTGAAAATAAGGGTTCCAAATGAATGAAGAAAACAAAATTTGATGCGCTAGGTTCCTTAACTTGCTATCGGACACATGAGTATTTCAAAAAATCCACCCTGCCTACAATACTTGTTAAAGTGTTAAGAAAGCACGGATACTGAAACACATTCTTTCATGGGTAAAGATTACAGATTAAAGTGGCAATCAGATACAGAAAAGGCCCAGAGCTATGTGGAACTTTTTCCTTAATACCTTTTGTCTGTGAAGACTGGCAACTAGAAAGTGACCACTGTCCTTATCTCTAAAATGCAGGGAAAATGTACTCAATTAAGATTTTAATTCTATTTTGTGTTGATACGTGATTTTAAGAACCCTATTCTAGTCTGGATTTTTATATTGGATCAACAATTTAGCTTACACAGTAATGAAATGCAATGCTAAATTTAAGGAAACCTTGATCATGAATTCAGTATAATGTATTACTGATTAACAAGCTATTAAAATTGTGCAAAACGTAAAGCACTTCACAGACTAATAACTGAACTTAAAAGATGTTGGTGGATCTCATTTTTGCTGATGTTTCACGTACATGTACTAAAATGCTAAGTAAACTAAAGAACTTTTAATTTACACTTGATAAATTAAAAGTATCAAATGAAAAAAAATGAATTAAAAAAAATTTCAGTCTACCTCCACCAGAACATCACTTTATTGTTAATCTACCATCAACAGTGTAAAACTCTAATAGATACTCTATCCTGGTTTTTAAAAAGGTAAAAGATTACACTGGATTAGCTACTTTCTATGAAAGAAACTACAGCTACCGCATAAGAGGGAAAATTTGAATGACCTCCCCAAAAAATGCACACCATAAGCAAAAGGGAGTGTACATTAAATCAAATGTCTGTTAGATTCATTACTTTTTAATGCACAGTGACGATTCTAGAAACTGTACATGATAGAATCACAAATGACTTAAATAACCAGAATTACATTTTGTGTGTGATCATCAGACCTTTAAACAATCCTTGAAGTTTCCATGTTATCAGAAGTTGTTAACAGCATCAAGACGGAAGTATATGAAATACAAGGATTGAAATAAAAGTGAATTTGAAAGATGGCTAATCTACTCCAGATTAGGTAAAGAGGGAACGGGTAAGTGGTGGGAAGGGGCAGGGAATGATGGGGTGGTTTTTTTCCCTTCATTTCAGAATAAGTTCTTCCACTGTAGTGTATCTGTTACATAGCTCTCCATTTTCAGTCCATTTCTGAAATTCGTATCGCATAGCCTTTAGCCTGTTTGTACTTACTGGTCAACCCAACCAGTACTGTTGCCAAGCAACAAGTGTTACACGAGAATCTGAATGCATCAAATCTTCCTTGGCTGTGATTTCTTCGCGGCCCCAGTTTTCTCTGTTTCTGAACGGGATTTGTTTTTTCCTGGATTGTACACACAGGGTCAGGTGGAATGGAGTTCCAAATCACTCTGTGCTCCGTGGCATCCCGATTTCTTTCTGCAGCTAACCTCCTGACACGTTTGCTGCTGTTCTGTGGCAGAAAGACAATCTCCGTGTTCAGGCGGTGAGCTTGCTTTCCTTCACCCTTGACCCTGGGGTTGCAGGCCATGGTGTTGGGAGTATCCCTGAGTGCAGCTGTCCTGCAGGATTCACTTCCTAGTGCACCGAGATTTCCTAGGTTTCCTCAGAGTAAGCCCCCAGTTGCATCACCACCGACTGTGGTGTGGCTTTGGATGCCTGAGGCTGAGTTGATTCTGGTGGATGTCCGACCTCGCTTAACCAGACTCATCTACTATCTCACCATTCACACCCAGGCTGTCCAACCTTCATACAGCTGAGCCAAGTTATCTAGATTAGTTGCTTCCTTAATGACATAGTCAACCTGTAAAAATAGGCAGCATAGTATTGAAAGTCATTTAAAACTTCTGAATTGTCTGCTGAATTACAATCTATGCCAAAAGTTATGTGCAAAGGACTCTATACTTACCGCGCTCCTGGAAGCCCCTTAATTTTCATATAAAATTTAATAACTATCAGAATAAAAAGCACAATAGCCAAGTATTCTTTAAAAAGACAGAGAGCTAAGACAGACGGTTATAAAGATTTGAAAAGCACACAATCCATTAACTTATCAGAATGTTTCTGAAGTGAAAATATCCCTAACTCGGAACATCTTTCACAGTTTTGACAAACCTGACAAAACGGTTTCTTTAAAGAAAACAAAAAAAAAATCTTGCCCAAGAAGAGTTTAAGTCTAGGTCCTATAAAGAACATGAGTGTTTAAAAGAAAAAAAAAAAATTTGTTGCTGATGTTAAAATTTAATTACAGATGCCAAACTATCAAACAGGATATTCAGTCTCTTAATTTTTATCCCACAGAAAAATGTACATTTATAATGGAGACATCAAGAGGATACCATTCTTGACCAAATGACCTAATTTATCACCATCAAAGATGGCACAAACTGATGTGTCTCTTGATGTAATATACTGAGAAAGAAACATCACTGATGTTGTATTCCTTCTAAAACAATAATTGAATTATGAGGAAAATATCAGACAAATATAAATGGAGGCACATTCTGCAAACCAGCTAATCTAGACACACCAAAACTATCCAGGGAAAGGAAGAGGGAAAGGCTTAGGAACTGTTCTACGTATTAAAGCAGAACAAGAAGTAGGACAAGGATGGAGAGTCCCTGACTCACAATGGGTCCGCATGACCATTTTTAACTTCAACATGGGTTTATCAGGGTATTAATGCATTTTAGACTTACGATGGATTTATTGGGATGTCATACATCTTAAGGGGAGCACCATCTATCTATATACAAAAATGCACAATGATCTTTGACTAGATCTTGGAGATGCGGGGAACCGGGGGTTCAGACAGGAGGAATAAGCAATAAAGGACACTTTGAGGTCATTGGAGAAATCTGAATGTGGATTGAATGTTAGATAATAGTATTACATCAATGTTAAGTTTCCTGAGTTGACAATTATATAGTAGCTACAGTATTATAGTATTTTGTTCAAGATACATATGGTAAAGTATTTAGGCATAAAGTGTTAAGATATCCGCAAAGGACCCTCAAATTGTTCAGAAAAACTTTGTGTGTATACACACACAGAGAGAACAATGAAACATGAAAAAAATCTTAACTGGTAAGTCTAGGTAAAAAGTTTATGGGCATTTCTACAACTTTTCTGTAGCTTAAAAATTTTTTTTAATAAATAGCTGGGGCTGGGGATGGATATTCTCAAATTTATATATTCAATATTAGTAAGACTAATAAAAAAATTTCAGAGCAATGACTTCAGACAAATGTTGCCATTAGCAAAAGGGAGTGTACAAAGATGCTTTACAAATATAAGTTGAGTATTCCTTATCCAAAATGCTTGGAACCTGTAGTTTTAGATTTGGAATTCTTTGAGATTTTGAAATATATACATGTATATAATGAGGAACTTGGGGGTGGAATGCAAGTCTGCACATGGAATCTACCTATGCTTCATATATACCTTATTATACACATAGCCTGAGGGTAATTTTATACATTTTCAGTTATTTTGCACATGAAACAAGGTTCTGACTAGGTTCTCACTAATGGGATCCATCACATGGTCACGCATGGAATTTTCCACTTATGGCATCATGTCAACCCTCAAAATGTTTCAGATTTATAGCATTTGATTTTCTAATTAGCGATGCTCCACTCACACTACACCTGCAACCCAAAGCGTCCTTGACATTTCATTTGAAAGCTTCAACAGTCTTCTTTACATGGAAATTAACTGTAGACTGGTAGAGGAGGATCAGGCTTATATTTTGGCTAAAACAGGGCTAGGGAAAACGAAAGTGCTCATAGGGAAGGGTCAGAGTAAAATGGTGACTACTTGACAGCTCCAGAGCTGTGTTACTCAAAATCTTCTGAATCCTGAAAATACATTTAAGTTCCTTGATGAACCACTAAGGAAATGGATGAGAGGGAGCTATATAAACCTCTACTTTTTGAGCAGCATTAAAATGTGTAGCCCAAGTTTAAAACACGGTCACCTGTTCAGCAACTGACATCCTCCTATTCGGATCAACATCTCGGCCCTCTAACTTGGCTTTCACTCTTTTCCACACACTCACTGCATAGGAGTTTCTCTCTTGCACCGCTATGAAGCAACAAAAGCACACGTTAAGTCAAACCATCATTTTATATAACAACTTAAAGCATCTTTATTCTAACTAATTACCTTTCCCAGTTTTAGGGTCTCTGACTGCCTTTTTAGGACTACAAGCAACACTCTTGCCAGTTCCTGGAACAGTGCTTGGTGGAGTATCAGCTGATGTAGCAAGATTTTTCTGGATCAGCTTTCTAGCATTCTGTGACATGACATCAGGCTGAGTCTTCTGGCCAGTGTTGCTCCGGACTGCTACAGAGAAACAGTTGGTGGCTCAATTTATACGTAAACAGAACATGGAGGGGGCAAAGTGGAGAGCACATGGGATTGGTGGTAGTGATTAATGCCCCAAATTAAATAATCAACTATAAATCCTTATCCATTGACACAGAAATTGTCTTCCTAAAAATATAACCTAAAAACAGACTTTCAGGTATGAATTTGTACAATGATGTTTACTAGGCTTGTGCCATCGAAAACCATAAATATCAGCTGGGCACAGTGGCTCACAACTGTAATCCCAACACTTTGGGAGGC